AGCCTTGTAGGGACCAAAACTGGACATGTCAAAGATGAACTGAGCACATTCTCAAGCTATTTGGTTGAATTCTAAAATGTGATGCCAGTGTTACAAAAAGTTCAAGTTTTCAGGAGAATTGTCCATATATATAATTAAACAGGGTGTCCCAAAAATGTATACACATAATAAAATCAAACACTACTCACTACTATATTTAACGTTTGAACATTTTTGGGGGACACCCTCTATATAATATATATATATATATATATATATATATACAGCGTAATTATGTTGTTTTTTGTACTGATGCAAAGCAACGGGCCTCCAAGCATTATCACAAAATACGCGTCTTCTAAGAGTTAAAAGTGATTAGTTGTCCCATGCGCTGGGGTGGCTTGCTCCTTCTGTCCTATCAAACATCTATCGTCCTTTACTCGCCTTCTTTTTTCGTGTTTGTTACTCTCGTAACACTTATAATCTTCGGCACGTATGTGACATAATCATAAAGCTACCCTAGAATTACAAAGTCCTATCTGTTTGGTACCCATGATTGAGAAATTTGATAACATGCCAAGATTTTTCGAATTCAGCTCTTTGAATATCTTGCTAACGACTCCGAAAAATCTTCCGATTTTGGAAGAGTAAATAGATCATGTTGTTTCTGACCTCATGATATTCGTAGCTGAAAGCGGTCAAAAATGTCGAACAAAACTTTATAATTCTAAGGAAATGAAGTGCTGTAAAGTTTTAATTTAAGCTGAAAGAGTTAAACCTGACCTGTCTCTCTCGCCAGCCGCTGTCCAGGCAGCTACCACGCCAGGTATTGTGACTTCTGCTCCCGGGGCCGCTGACCCGATGACGTCTCCAGCTGCTGGGGTAGCAGCAGCTGCAGCAACATCACCACCGGCAGCAGCAGCAGCAACATCACCACCAGCAGCAGTAGTAATAGCAGCAGCAGACATAACAACCCCTCCAGCAGCAGTAGTAATAGCAGCAGCAGACACAACAACCCCTCCAGCAGCAGTAGCAATAGCAGCAGCAGACACAACAACCCCTCCAGCCCCACCGGTGGAGACGGACGCCCCTACCGAAGCAGCGACCACTGAGCTCTCCACCCCGCCAGAAACCGAGGCGCCCGAAACCGAGGCTCCAGAAACTGACGCGCCAACGACATCAGCACCCGCTACAACAGCAGCTTCGACAGCAGCACCAGAAACGGAAGCACCAGAAACTGAGGCCCCCGAAACTGATGCGCCAACCACTTCAGCACCCGTCACAACACCAGCGACAACACAGGCCCCCGAAACCGAGGCTCCCGAAACCGAGGCTCCAGAGACAGAAGCCCCAGAAACGGAAGCCCCTGAAACTGATGCGCCCACTACCCCAG